TATAATAATAATATATATATATAAATAATATATTATATAATATATATATATAATATATCTATTAATATATACTATATATATTTATATACCTCATAATTATGAATAGTATACTTGTACACGTAATGTGCTTGGACCTTGTCTCATTCACATCCCACTCATTCAATTAGGGACCACATTAACCATGTGAATGTGGTCGCCACTATTGAATAGGTGGAGGATAATATGGCCACCCTCAGCACTAAGGCACAAATTAGTGGCGGTACCAAGGCATACCCATATTCTATATATATATATATATATTATATATACTATTAGAAAAATGGGTTATACTTGCGTACCAAGGATGCCTTGTAGGATGTGGACTTTTGTCGCATAACACTCAACATCCTTGAGATGAATCCACTTAGGTGTGATGTAGGACAAGATGTGTCCACATCACTACCGACCCAAAGAACCCATATTCTCTCTCTCATCTCTCTCTCTCCCTCCTGCTTTTGTACTATATTATAAATATATTATAATATATCATAATATAATATATAAGTAGTTTGTTGAAAGTATGTTTTTTTTTGAGTTTAAATATCAGAAGAGTGATCCTTGGAGGTTTAATACAGGGAGAGAGACGCTAAGATGTACAATACTTTTTGAATAAATAAACGAAGATTATGATGCGAGGACAGCTCCAAATCAGTGCTTTTAGGCAATTTGAGTTTCTTATCGGCTTCTTGTTAGTGTTATGATTACGAATTAGGCCTTGAAGATCTGTATATTTTTAAACAAATGAAGGCTATGATACGGAGAACAGCCCCACATCAGTTTTTTAAAGGAAAATAATGGCTTATAATGCTCCATTAGGTTATGATTACTAATCAATTCATTCTACATTTTGCATGAATTCTGGGTATTTGAGTATTTGTTACACATCTCAGAAGTGAAAGAGGACTTTATGAGGAAAGTTCTGAAGAGGAAATTTCTTTTGAAGCGGCTTCTATCTGCTTTAGCTGGTGTTTTGTATGTCATGATGAGCCCAAATTCATAGATTGTACCAATTTGTTGAATAGGCATGAATTGATTTTTTTTTTTAACATTTTATAGCTGCTTCTGTTTGTCATTGCTGGTCAAGTATGAAACCTGCAGAGTTTCTGTAAAAGGGTTTGTGATAATTGTAAAGAATTTGCTGATAACTTCTAAATAGATGTAAAGGTCCTAGAAATTTATGATTAGTCAAATGCAGGATATAAATTAAAGAAACTTTGCATAATGTCATTATGCAACATGTTTATACATTTTTCCTGCTATTTGTATAAGCTTTTAACCACAGGACCAGACAGAAGTAGACCAACTTGATGCAGACCAATCAAGCGCAAACAAAGCATATATTCCCCCTTGATTTCTTTTGCCTGCCTTCAACTTTTTCGTGTTGCGCTTTTCTTATTAGCTACTTCACTTGTATTTCCTAGTGATGTATTTGGTTGGGTTTATGCATTGTTTTGTGCTTAATGATGTATATTTGATAAGTTAGATTCTGCAGGACTACATGTCTGGAGTTGGAACCCAGCCATTCCCCTCAAAAAACAATTTGTAGTTTGTGGCTTTCGAATCTACTTTGTTCTAGATATCATTAAAAACTTTGAAGTTGTGATGAGGATCGTCGAATATATTTTAATATTGTAACATGTTAACGTAAAGTGAGCTTTGATCATAGGAAAGTAACTCAATCTCTCTTAATATTATGATTGTTCTCATCTTTTTCACTTTCTCATGGTAAGCCCAAATTCAAAAAAGTATTATTAATCCTATAAGACATAGGGTGTTGCACAATTAAAAACAGAACACGCAAAAAAATGAGTGTAGTGAATATGAGAATGTTAGGATGAACATGTGAGCATGCATGTAAATATAAGATAAGAAATGAGTGCAGCCGTGGAAGATCAGTAGTTATTCATATTCAAGTTATAATCAGAGAGAATCGATTGAGATGATTTGATCATTTACAACAGAGATCTGGGCACTGGTTAGGAAAAAATGTTAATAATAATATAGCTGATGGGGGTAAAGAGATTTAGAGGAAAACCAAAGGAACTTGAGCAATTAAAAAGAATATGATAATGTCTAATTTAACGGTTAGATGCCCCGAAAATAAAACTTAATGGAACAATGAGATTCGAGTAGCAATTTTGGAATAAAGGCCTTGTTATTGCTTATGTAGGCATGCTTGTCCATCTCAAAAGGGTTGGGTTGGCACATATGCCTCCTCGGCACTCAATGGGCCTTAAGAACTTTTCCCCTAGATTATCAATTCATACAGAGGCCTTGGCTTAGTACAAGCTCAATCAACATTACAATTTCTCTATTGTTCCTCTTGCAATGTTTACTTATTATTCTTTCTTGCATGGGCTTGGTAATGGTCCACATGAAGAAAAGCTATAGACTTTTATTTTGTTTGCTTTAAAATGTTTTTAGGAAGAAAACATTCATATTGAAGACCTTGAGGAGAATTGCATAGAGAGTTTTACAAGTGGAGAAGCATCATACTCATACCATCTATTTCAGATAATTTTATTGTAGGGGTTGTTTAATTTTGAGAAAATATCATGTGATCTTGAGGAGCTTCAGACACACTAGCAAGTTAATAAAGTTATGGGAGTTTTATAAAAAGTTAAAACTACAGTAAAACATTGGAAAAGTGGAAAGGGACACATGATAGAATGAAATATCAAAGTGATTTATTGCGATTCAACAAATGTAGATATGAAGTTTACAACAATTTATTTGAAACTTCCAGTTCAAGAAATTATTCCCAGTGTATATATAATGCAGTTTTTGGTACGACAAATGGTCATCTACCAATTCTCTTTGCAGCTTTTTCCCCAACGCATATCAGCTAGCTCTCTCCCATAAATGTTGTATCAGATCTCAAGGTAGAATGCTTAATAATTCCTAGCATTGGCACCCTCTAACAAGAAGGGGAATTTCCACTTTAGAAAGGTCAGACCTTCATTATCTTCATTCCTTCTTAGAACCTATCAATCCAGACGACCCTTTAGTTCCGGATGTTTTATGGTGGCCTCTTCATCCATCGGGAAATTTTACAGTCAAATCCTATTACTCCTTTGTCATTTCAGGGTGTATTAAATCTCAGTTCCACAACATGATATGGAAATCCCACATTCCCACGAAGGTTAAAGTCCTTTTTTGGATTATTTCAAAAAAGAAGCTGAACACGAGGGCTAACTTGATCAATAAGGGTTGGACCGGCGACCCTAGATGCTCATTCTGTCAAATGAGAATAGAAACTCATGAACACCTTTTTATTCAATGCTCATTTGCCCGTACAGTCTGGAACTCTCTTCTCCCCCTCCTCCCAACTAACTGCTGGCCTCAGACCATGGAAGAGTTGATTTTTATTCATATTGTTCCCAGTCTTTGTTCAGATATAAAAGTCATATGGAAGCTTTTGTTGCCTTGTGTTTGCTGGTGGATTTGGTACAATAGGAATGCTCTTATTTCTAAGGACTGCCAGCCTAACCCGATCCACATTGCTTCTAATATTGTGAGATTTACAATATTCTGGTCAGGTGCTGAGGAGGATAGGATGGCCAGGAGATTTCGAAGGGCTGCTTTCAACCTCGGTTTCCAGGATCTCGCCAAGAAGAACGCCCCCGATGCTTCCGGTGATAACTTCTCCAATGACATCTAATCCCTGCTGCAGCCATGTTTGCTAGCTGAAGATAACTTCTCTAGGTTTAGAATCTTTGTTGTTGCTAGCTATTTTCATCATAGTTGTTATGTTTCCT